TTACAAACGCCTCAGGTTACAAACGCTTCAGGTTACAAACTCTGCTAACCTGGAAGAGTTACCTCGAGTTGAGAACTTTGCCCCAGGATGAGAATGGAAATCGTGTGCCAGCGGCGCAGCAGCAACAAGAGGCCCCATTAGCAAAAGCATGTCTCTAGTTAAGAACAGTTTCAGGTTAAGAACGGACCTCCGGAACGAATTAAGTTCGTAACTAGAGGTAACTCTGTATAAAAGTGTGTATGACTTAGGGTCATGATGGTAGAAGGATGCACTTGTGATCTAGAACAATGCTAGGAGCTTGACAGGATAATAATAAAATAATTACTATTATTTTAATTAATCAATTAGATTTGTATACTGCTCTTTGCCTGCAGGTCTCAGGGAGGTTAAAACCTAAAATCACAATATAAAAATGCAAAATACATAATAAAAATGAAAACGAAACCAACCCAATAAACCCCCAACACATTTTAAAAGGACATTGGCTGTCACTCAGCCAAAGGCCTGTTTAAAGAGGAACTTTTTTTAACCCCCTGGCATCTCAGAGTTCTCTAGCCACCAGTTGCCTTTCCCTCTGAAAATCACAAACAACCTGATTATTATTTTTTAGCTTGACACTTACTTGTCACTGGAGAATCAAGAAGAAGAAATTATAGCAGGTGCTGAATTATGGGTCACTTGCAATATCTACCTGAAATACCTACACATCGTCCCCTGCCCCTACTCTCCCTAGTGTAAATATTTGGGGGTGGGGGTGGGGGTGTATTCTTGTTCCATTATAGTGAGCAAAACATGTCTGATATAATCTTGGGGAGAGCTAAAACAGTCTGGATTGCACCACTGACAAACTGCAAATTTTAGCAAATGCGTAATTGGGCTTGGTTGAAATAGAAGGGCCTCATAATGATGTCAGGTGCTCTGAATTCTTTCTCATGTATTTTTAGGCCTGCCATAAACACACAAAGTCTAACTTTTCATCCCAACAGCAGGAGTGTAAACTCTTCTGACAATTGGTTGTGTGTTGGCTTGAGAAGCTAGGTCAAGTAATTGGATTAATACGCTCCATTCCTGGGCCAGTCTGGCAAATTAGTCGAACTCTTTTCAAGTATAGTCACTGGGATTTAAGGCCAAGGTCTGCTGTAATGTAACCTGTTGTCTACTTATCCCCAGATGGACCCTTGTGTAATACATAGCAACAGTGCCCTCCTTGTACTTAGTAACCTGTATCATCAGAGGAACTCTCTCTGCTGTCAAAGGTTAAGAGAGGCAAGGCTTTCCAAAGGGTTTCGACTGGCCTTAACTGGCTTCCTCACAGACAGCTCCCTTATAGGCAGCTATAGAAAGCCAATGTGTCATCAGAGAAAAAGTCAGCTATGATTCAAGAGGGACGCTGGATACGAAGGAGAGTGAAAGCCATAGTCATAAGGGAAAATGGTACGTAATCATAGAAAAGGAAGTAGAATAAGAATGTGGAAGTTGTGCCCCACCAAATGTTTCTGGATAACCATCATGTTATAGCAGAGTAGCTTTCTCCAACTGGAAACACCCTCAGATATTTTGGAAGGCAACTTGCATCAGCCCTGACCATTGACCAAGTTGTTGTTGTTGGTACTATATTTATTTAGATCCTGCCTTTTCCCCAGCCCAGAACTCAAGGTGGCTTATGCAAATTAAAAGAGAGATAAAATACAAAAGAGAAGTATATATAAAAAGTAATTATATATCGTTGTTAAAAGGTAATTAAACTCCATATAAAGTAATTCCTACAGTAAACCGCCCTTTGATCTGCTGATGAAGGGGTGGTATATCAGCTTAATAAATAAAATAAATAGATAAACTGTAATAGAATTAAAACAACACGAAAAATGAATCTTTTAAAACACAGATAATAAAATCAGCACAGCACTATTAAAGCCCTTTCCTTAAAAAAACCCCAAAAACATTCAGTTCCCAAAATCCTTTCGAAATAAAATAGTCTCCACCTGCCGGTGAAAGGACAATAAGGAAGGAGCCAGTCTAACTTCTCTAGGAAGGGAGCTCCAATGTTTGGGAGCAGCCATCTTGGCTGTGGAGTCCAATAACAACTGGAGCTAGCAGAATCCTGGTCTAGAAGAGACTTGAAGGTTTTCTAGTACAGCTTCCTGCCCTGGAGCAAGATCCTACCTGCACAATAACAACTTACAAATCACTTAGGTAATGGGAGTATATCATTTATCATGGTCAGGACTGGAATGAAAAAGACACACATATCAGGTCACATAAGGCTTGGTGACCAAGGGAGGTTCCAGAGATCTGTACCTTAGTTGTGAGGAATCTGCGGTTTGTCATCCCCACATAAAGGCTGCATGGAAATAAGAGTGTGTGAGTGGCAAGTGCTTCCTGTTCTCTGTACTTCTTTGTAATATCTGACATCCATGCAAATCTTGCAACTTCCCCTGATGGTGATGTACACAAGGTCCTAATGCGTGGACAGTTCAGATGTCTCACCACAGGGGAAGAAATGAGAGCTCCTCCGTGGATGCTGCAAAGACGCACAGAAAACAGGAAGCATGAGTCACTTTCTTCCCTGTGTTTCTGATGTATAGGACCCACCCTATTCCTGTGACTGTCGTTTGTTTTAACTGTTTTTAATTATAAATTGTTATAACCTGCGCTGAGACCTGCTGTGAATGATGATAATGATGTTCAGGAAGAGTTACATTGTTTCTGTAGCCCAAATGGTAGGTAAAAGGGAAAGGGAAAGGACCCCATGATGGTTAAGTCCAGTCGAATTCGACCATGTGGTACAGCGCTCATCTCTACTTTCAGACCAAGGGAGCCAGTGTTGGTCCACAGACAGCTTTTTGGGTCATGTGGCCAGCATGACTAAACCGCTTAGAACAATAAATTTATCAGTAAGCTTAGAACTCCAAGTTTTGCAGAAATGCAAACAAAATAAAAAATCAGAAAGCTATTCCTAAATTTGGAGGGAGCCCTAAAAACACTCTCATGAGGATTGAGCATGCTCTGTGGCACCAGATGCTAACTATGTGTAGGAGGTGAATGGAAAATGGGTGGGAGGCATGAGGAATCAAGTGGAGTGGTCTGGATTCTGAACAGCAGCACTCCATCCTGAAGCAACTTTGTGACTCCCACATGTCTTCTATCCATTTCTAAGATGGCCTGGTGATCTAGACCAGGCATCCCCAACCTTCGGCCCTCCAGATGTTTTGGACTACAATTCCCATCATCCTTGACCACTGATCCTGTTAGCTAGGGATCTTGGGAGCTGTACGCCAAAACATCTGGCGGTCCGCAGGTTGGGGATGCCTGATCTAGACTGTTTTTCTGCTTCTCGGCCTACCTGCTGCAGTCATGCCTATTGTGTAATTTGGTTGATACAACTTGTAGACTTACACTTTTATCCATCGTGGAGAAAATATGCCCCCCATTTGGAGCCTATAAAAAGGGGGTAATTTTAGCTATCTTGGGGCGGATTTTGAGGGGGAAATGCCATGAAACTCAAGTATTAAGGCATATTCAACTGGGATTTATTTTATTGCAGGGCAGGGTGTGTTTCTCCAGTTAATTGATCCAGCATATATGAGGCTCAGAAAACACAAGGCATGGTTCTCAGCGGCTCTCCTTAATGGACATGGGAAGTCCTTGTTTGGATTCCAAGTGTATAAAATCCACACGCAACCCAGCACACATCTTCCCCTCTTTCATATACCTTGGGTTGCATACTGAGGCATCAGCTCAGGAGCTTCTGTGAGGACAAACAGAGCAAAAATATTGCTGGTTTTGGTTCATTATTAGCTTGTTTGCTTTGCCTGCTGACTCCTTGAAAGTAAGTTGCAGCTGAGTCGGCAAGGTCAGCCAGACATCCACTATCCGTCAAACTAATCATAGACACGAACTTCATAAATGTCTTTCATTTGCAACCTACATGTTGGACAGGTTATGTGGGTTTTCAGTCTATTTTTAACTCGGCAATCTGTCATTGGGGGCTTTATGGAGCTCTTAGCTACATGCCTCAGGATCTGTAATGCAATCGCAGAGTATATTATAGGATTTCCTCTGCCACTTTTTAGAAACAGCAGGTGCAATGTCAGCATTCAGTGTTGATAACAAAATGCAGATACCATCAAAAATGCATTGCATAACACACCTAACCTTGGAAGTATTTGCTCTATTGGATGAACAATAAACAGTGAAAGTACAAACTATTGTTTACAGATACTTTACGCTCACAATTGTCTACCGCTAGAATGGCAGTGGTCATAATGGCAAGGATATTAATTTGCTTGTTTCTTTTAAAACTCTATTGCATAGAGGGTCTTCAGAATCAAAGAGTTGGGAACTGGGGGCAGCTGCCCCATGTGCTAAGCCACGTAAATGTAGGTGGCAACTTGTCAGTGGAATACTCTTAAACTCTGGATTGACTGTCCTCCCAGACTGGCCATTGGTGCTCCCTATTCCAGCTGAGAATGGGCAGGAAGGTGTATAAGTTGTTTTCCTGAGCTATGGTGTATTTCAGTATCCTTAGCTATCCTTTAATTCTGACTTCTAACTTGCTTCTTGAGCCTCTCCCTTGAATCATCATTCAGCCTTGACACTTTGTGCCTGATTACTAGCTTTATCCCATAGGTCTTTGTTGCCTGTCAATGACCAAACAAAACTTTCCATCAATTCACTATTCTATGCTACTAAAAGTACGCCTATACTATATTTTTATACACAATCTTATAAAAGTACCACATATCTGAGAGAACACCTTCTCCCATACAGACTTACTTACTTAAGATCATGGTTATGCAGCATCCTGTAGACATCCATCTGGTCACAACCAGGAAGAGGACCTTTTCTGTGGTGACACCTGCCCTCTGGAATAGTCTTCCTCCAGAAATAAGACATGCACCACCATTAGATCAATTTTAATATTTCTGTCCAGTGTGGCTTTTGCTGTGTATTGTATCTTGCCATTTTGATGTGGACATCAAATGTTTGCTTCTAACTGAGCACTGGATAGCTCAGTTGGTTAGAGTGCAGTGCTGATAATGCTAAGGTTGAAGGTTCGATCCCTATATGGGGCAGCTGCATATTCCTGCATTGAAGGGGGTTGGACTAGATGATCCTCAGGGTTCCTTCCAACTCTATGATTCTAGTTTAATGTTTCTCTTGATATGAATAACAAAAGAACAATCGTGCTTCTCTTGTGCATCTCCACACATATATGATGCCCCTGATTACCTGGGAAGATTTTAATGAGAAATTCAATCAAGTAAGTTATATGAAGCTGCTAACCAACTGTCCATTGATAATAAGGAATTTTGATTTTACTATATTTACACAACAGGGATGGACATGCTAAAATTATGCTTAACGCTGGAATCCAGGAAACAGTATATTTTAATCCCCATTTTGGCCCATACACTCACCCACAATTCTGACACCAGAAACCTTCTGTCTATACAAATAATTGCCATGGCTAAACAGGACTGTGTTGTTTCCAAAAATGGGACAAAACAGCCTTTTTTTAAACCCAGGGTTATTTTCGCCATGAGTACCATGCTATCCACCAGCTGTTAACTTTGTTATGAGGAGAGCATCAACCTCAAGAACACGAATCTAAACAAAGCTACTATCCCAGCTATATGGTATAAAAGCACAAAGTCCACAGCGATGGTAGTAGGAAGATCGCTTGGACGGAGGATTGCAAATGACAATGTCTTTTCTGTAAGTAGATAATCAGGTATCTGAAGTCAAGCTGATGAATGAGGAAAAGTATAAATAGACTCACAATCTGATCCTATTCCTCTCTTCAGCTGCAGCAAATACAAGCCAAAAAAGACCTGTCAGATCTTGGCCAAGCTCCAGCACAGGCTGGAGTCGGGGGCTTGCACAAACAAATGATGCTCAAAAGGGCCTGAGGCATGTGATATAGCCAAATATAGGCTCGGCCTGGGGCAGGAGGGGGGCCAGTTTCCAGGGTAGGACAATATGGTTGCTCAATGCAGCAATTGTTTGGTCAGAGAAGTGTTTCTCATCTTGTTTCAGAAAAGCATCTCCTCCTTGCAGAGGGCAGGAGTTGTGAGCAAGAGCCATTTCCCGCATTGGCAGGGGGCGTTTCGGACCCTGCCCAGCTATCCTGGCTGCCGTGCCACGCCCCCGGGCAGCCAACCAATCAGGTCGAGGCTTGGGGACAGGGTTTAGCCGCTCAAATGCGGCAGCGCTCAGAAACTGCATATTTTGTAAATTCAGCTTAATGCAAACTGAATTGACTTTCTCTCCCATTACTTATATCCAGTTTTTAAAAAGGAACAGGTAATGGACAATGAGAAAGATCTGCCAGAGATGTTTGAGCCCATCTAGTCCAGCCTCCTGTTCTCACAGCAGCCAACCGTATGAGGAGACACTACTGAACCGCATAGATCTGGCTTAGTAGAAAGCAACTGCCTATGTCTCTCCACATTTTGTTGTTTTGAAGGACACCACAGCCATAAAGCGCCTTGGCTTTCACCTTCTTCTTTGTGTTGTGAACAAGACAGCTGCTGGTGGCATGGTAGGTATCATTCACTCTTGTTTTACATAGCAAGTTTGGGCTCGATGAAGTTCTGAAGTTCTTTCTGCTCAGCTTGCAGAGCTAACAAGACAGTGCTTGTCACAATGCGAGAAAAGTGTTGACCTTCAATGGACCACCAAAATTGTAGGCTTGACATTGTGTCGCGGTACAGTAGCAGAAATAAGACGTTGGCCATTGATCTGTTGATGACAGACATAAGTGCCCCCATAAAGTGAGTGCTCTCTAAAAATAGAATACATGTAGAAAGGGCTTCAAGTGCCTTGTATCTGGGCTTCTTATAAGTAGGTCACAGATGACCAAGGGAATAGAATAGCTGTTGCATTGCTACCCTCCATGAAACCCCAACAGTGTAAGACAACCCATATGTCAGAGTCGAGCTAGCAGAAGAGATAGGGAAGAATAAACTTTTCTGAGTTAGGAACCAGCGTGAAAGACAAGAACACCTCCAAGAATATAGGAAGAGTCCTGCTGGATCTAACCAACAGTCTAGCATCTTGTTTTCTATACAGTGGTACCTCGGGTTAAGAACTTAATTCGTTCCAGAGGTCCGTACTTAACCTGAAACTGTTCTTAACCTGAAGCACCACTTTAGCTTATGGGGCCTGCTGCTGCTGTTACTGCACCGCTGGAGCAAGATTTCTGTTCTCATCCTGAAGCAAAGTTCTTAACCTGAAGCACTATTTCTGGGTTAGCGGAGTCTGTAACCTGAAGCGTATGTAACCTGAGGTACCACTGTAGTGGGAAATGGAAAGACCACAGGAAAGACCACATATTAATCTTGATAGGCAGGGTGGAATTAACCACTCTGATGCTCAGGAAACTGATGTGGTGCTACAGAAGCCTGCTAAAGGTCAGGAAACTACAAGAAGGAAGCAGCTGCATGAACAGAAGTATAGTGCCTCAACCAAGGGAATTAATAGTTCTGCTGTATTCTGTCTTGGTCAGACTGCATCTGGAGTACTATGTCCAGTTCAGGACACCACAATTTAAGAAGCTTATTGACAAGCTGGAATGAGTGCAGAGGAGGGCAATGACAGAACCATAGAATCATAGAGTTCATGTAGTCATCTAGTCAAACCCCCTGCAACTCAGGAAACTTTTGTCCAACGTGGGCTTGAACCCATGACCCTGATATTAAGAGTTTCCTGCTTTACCGGTTAAGCTGTCCTAAGCCTTATGAGGAACAGTTGAGGAAGTTGGGTATGTTTAGCCTGGAAAAGAGGAGACTGAGAGGAGCTATGACAGCCATCTTCAAGTTTCTAATGGGCTTGTTTTCTCCTGTTCTGGAGGGTAGGGCTCAAACCAATGGCTTCAAGTTACAAGAAATGAGATTCCAACTAAACATCAGGAAGAACTTCAATAGTGGAAGGTGGTGGAGTCTCCTTCCTTGGAGGTTTTTAAGGTGAGGTGGGATGACCATCTGTAACGGAGGCCTTAGTTGAGATTCCTGCATTGCAAAGGGTTGGACTAGATGATTCTATGAACCACTCCTGGAACTCCTCAGGAATTTGGTGCACAATCCTAATACTTTTAAAATAGACTCAGGCTGCAAAGCTATATAAGAAGAATGAGCCATAAAGAGCTACAAGAGGAAGACCTTCAGAAAAAAGTGTTTTCTTTCTATTGTCGTTACTCTTCAAAGCTTTTTTAATCCCATCGAGGTGGGGGTAGGGGGTAAAACAAAAGCACAGAAAACACCACACGTGAAGTATGATAAGATCTGAGATTTAGCTGTTTGGTCAGCATAATATCCCCAGTTATTTTCAAGGATGACCTTTGTTTCATTAATGCATCCTATTGCAACTTGAAAATTATCTTCTCTCCAGCTGTCCCTTATATGGGCTACCCTAGATTCACTTGACAATTATTTGATTTTTCACATTAAAAACCTATAATTTTTTCTAAATCAATTTGAGGGTCTTTGAAAACTATTACAGGGACACATAAGAACAGCTGTGCTGGATCATACCAGAGGCCCATCCAGTCCAGCATCCTGTTTTCATAACGACCAACTAGATGCCACTATGGGAAGATGGGAAGCCTGCAACCAGATTTAAAACTATACCACGAAGCAGCCTGTCTCTCCTGGATCTGGAAATGGTTGATATTACAAAATACAGATTTGTTAGATTTGGAAGGCTTCGACAATTGATATGGCTGGCATGCCTAGAAAAAGAGTTAATTCAATCTAAAGAGAAAACACTCTCTAAAATGTATAGACTTCTCCTTGACTGGGAAGTCAAGGAGGAGGAGGAAAAATCTGTGATGGCCAAATGGGCCCAAGACTTTGGATATAACATTCCAATGGAGGCATGGGAAAGATTATGGAAGGAGGACTTGAGGTTTACTGCATGCTATACTTTGAAAGAAAACTTTATGAAGATGCTTTATCATTGGTATTTAACACCATCAAAGTTTGCAAAAATGTATAGAAATATCTCAAGCAGTTGTTGGACATGTAGAGAGGCGGAAGGCTCAATGTTACATATGTGATGGAACTGTAGGAAAGTAAAGGAATTTTGGGAAACAGTATACAATGAGCTCAAAAAGATATTTAAGATTTCCTTTACAAAAAAACCTGAAGCCTTCCTTTTGGGTATAATGGGCACAGATATTCCAAAAAAGGTGAGGAATATATTTCTGTACGCCACAGTCGCAGCAAGAATTCTAATAGTCAAAAATTGGAAGGAAGATTCAACTCCGACTAAACTGGAGTGGCAATCGAAACTGTTAGAATACGCAGAACTAGCAAGGATGACAGAAAAACTAAGGGACCACACAGAACAAACGTTTATGAGAGAATGGGACATGTACAGAAAATATCTCAGGGAGCATTGTAAAAAACTTGTTGGCAGGTCTGGAGTGACCTCTGAAGGAAAGTAGAAAATCTTAGGAATTTCAGAGATTTGAGATTTTATTTGACTGATAAAAGATAAGTGTGATATGCAAAAACTACTTAGGACCCACAATGGGGTGATCGGAAGTCATTATGGAAGTTATGAATGATGAAAATATTTTATCTTTTGGTAATGTGTATTATTCTTATGTTGACTGTTTGTTTTCCTTTTGGACTCAATAAAGAATTAAAAGAAAAAGAAAAAAGCCTGCAACCAAGACCTTAATTCAACAGCAGTCTTCCCACTTTCAGTTCTCAGGAAGTGATATTCAGGGACATCATTTCAATCCATTAGTTGGGGTCCTACCCTCTACAGCAGCAGAAAACAAGCCATCTTCCATGTGAAGGACCTTCAGATATTTGAAGATGACTGTTGTTGATTAAGGTGCTTCACAACATAAAATTACAAAATGCATACTAAAACAAGAAAAGTGAACCAATAACTCCGCTCCCACAAAGACATCTAAAAGGCCACTGAATGTTCAATCAACCAAAAGCCTGGTTGTAGAGAAACATTTTCGCCTGGCTATCATGTCATCTCTCAGTCTTCTCTTCACCTTCAACTGATCCTCATAAGACTTGGTTTCCAGCTCCTCTTTCAGCTTGGTTGCCCA